CTCGCGGAGTGCAAGGCGGTGGAGCGGCAGGTCGCGGAGGATGTGGAGACGCTGCGCAGCCTGCCGCACGGAAGGCCTATTCCGCCGCACTTTAACCGCGAGTTGGCGCCAACGTTTTTGCCAGTGTCGCCTCCCGATGAGGAGATGATCGACCAGAGCGCCGCGGAGGAGGTGGGGAGGAACGCTGCGAAGCCCAGTAGCAGTAGCAAGGATGCTGATGATAAGCGGAAGGTGACAATGATTTCGGATGATGATGACGACATTGACCTCCCCCCACCAACGCCAAAGCAGCAACAACAAAAACAACAGTCATCCACTAATACAAAGCCTGTCATTGAGTTCGATGATGACGATTTGTAGAAGGGTTCTATCAACTATTTTTGTTACATTGTCGTGTGCGTCTGTCTGTGTGTGTTTGTGTTTCACTCCATTGCTTTTCATATATTTGAGCATCTCTACCTATCTACCTATCTGACTGACTGACTGACTGACTTCTGACTGGCTATCGAGTTATCTTGCTCTCTTGTTGACGTTATCGTGACCAAAATGCGTCGGCTTTTGCAGCACAGGTTTTCCGTTTGGGGGGTCACTCCCTTTTCTCTCCTTCCTTGCCATTGTACATGTGTGGGTGGTTGCTCTTTTTTTTTTTTTTCATCCGCCCTGTTTCTTTTCTCTCGCGTATGTGTCTGGTCCAGCGGCGGGGAAAGAAGTAGCAGCAACATCAGATGCCGGCAAAGAAGAAGACCGACAAGAAGGAGGAGCAGGTGTTTGTGGAGGAGGAGGGCAGCTACGTGCACGAGGAGCAGTCCGCACGGTACGTGGGCGGCGTGCGGCGGCTGACGGAGAGCACGTACCGCTGCCGCCATGGCCGCGGCGTCTTCACGAGCCCGCTGGTCCGCTACGACGGTGACTGGCAGGAGGACGAGATGCACGGCAGCGGCGAGCTGCGGTTCCTCACGACGGGAGACACGTACCGCGGACAGTTCGTGCGCGGGATGTTTGAGGGCAGCGGCACCTACACGTGGGCGTCCGGCGCCGTGTACGACGGGGCGTGGCGCAGCAACCGCATCCACGGGCTTGGCACCTACACCGACGTGCAGGGCAAAGTGTGGAGCGGCAAGTTCTACAACGGCACCGGCCCGGGCCTCACGCCATTCGCGGGCAGCGGCTGCAAGGGCGCGGCGGCGCATGCACTAGATGAACAACCACACGAGCAGCAGCAGCAGCAGCAGCAGCGACAAGAGGGAGTGGCGGCGTGAAGACTGAGGAGGTGCGCGTACGATGTGAGAATGTATTGTAGCCTGCTCCAGAGGGGTGGGAAGAGGGAGTGGCTGTGGTGGGCGCGCTTTGCTGTTATTCTTCTGTCATCCATGCTATGTGTGCAATGTGTGGACTATCTTTCTTTCTTTCTGTCTCTCTCTTACTCACTCGCCTCCTCACTCTGTCCCCGCGCTCGTGTGTGCTGCCTTGAGGGCAGTATAGGGTCCGCAGTAGGCAACCAAGAAGGAAAAAAGAAAAGAAACGCTGTGCACGGGTGTAGGGCGACCAGGGCGAGAGCGTGGCAGCAACAGGAAAGAGCGACATAGCGGCCGAACAAAAAGAATATATAAAAATATATATACACCAGTCCATTAGCGGCACGGCACACCCACACAAGAAGCATCAAGCAATCAGAGGCAACCACGATCAGACGCAGGCACACACCCAGACGAACACCAAAAGGCAAACGCACAGTCCAGTAAACAAAGCGACAACGAAAGGTGTGAGGATCACGAAGTAACGATGAGCTCCAAAGGTGAACAGGTCATGCGAGACCTCATCGCGGAGCTGGAGGCGATGCACTCGCACTACACGGTGCAGCGCTTCATCAGCAGTGGCAGCTACGGCGCGGTGTGCGCCGGCGTCGATGAGAACGACTGCCCGGTGGCGATCAAGCGTGTGTTCAGCACCGTCTCCGACGGCCACACCGTGAACATCCTCTCTGACCCGTTTCTGTGCAAGCGCGTGCTGCGGGAGATCATGCTGCTGAACCACTTCCACCACCCGAACATCCTCGGGCTGAAGAACATGTTCGTGCACCTGCAGCCGCCGAGCATGCACAAGCTGTACCTCGTGACGGACCTGATGCGCACCGACCTCGCGCAGGTGATACACGACCAGCGCATTCAGGTCTCGCCGCAGCACATCCAGTTCTTCATGTACCACATCCTGCTCGGCCTGCACGTGCTGCATGAGGCGGGCGTCGTGCACCGCGACCTCCACCCCGGCAACGTGCTCGTCGCGGAGAACAACGACATCGCGATCTGCGACTTCAACCTCGCCCGCGAGGACACACAGGACCAGAACAAGACGCACTACGTCACGCACCGCTGGTACCGCGCGCCGGAGCTCGTGATGCAGTTCAAGGGCTTCACGAAGCTCGTCGACATCTGGTCGGCCGGCTGCGTGATGGGCGAACTCTTCAACCGCAAGGCGCTCTTCCGCGGCTCCACGTTCTACAACCAGCTCGACAAGATCGTCGAGGTCGTCGGCACGCCGAGCGAGGAGGACGTCATGATGTTCTCCTCCGCGCAGGCGCGCGACTACCTGCATACCTCGCTGTCACACTGCAGGAAGCAACCGTGGCGCCACGTCGTGCCGACCGCTGACGACGAGGCGCTCGACCTGATAGGGCGCATGCTCGAGTTCAACCCCGCTAGGCGCATCACCGCGGAGCACGCGCTGCAGCACCCGTACTTCGCGTCGCTCTACGACCCGCTCGACCTCTCCGAGGCGCGCAGCGAGCCGTTCCACTTCCGTGACGTGAACGACATACCGACGATGCACGAAATGTTCCTACATGAGGTGCGCCGCCTCAACGCGCTCAAGGAGAAGCGGGAACCGATCGCGCAGCAGCGGGCAGCAGCCGTCGCGAGCGCAGAGAACGTCCTTGGTGCCGACCACCAGCTGCGCACGCACAGTCTCATGGAGGTGGCGGAGATGGTGCACAGTCATCACGAGTAGAAGCGGCAGCAGCAACAAGACGCGTTCCGCATTCAGGGTCAGCCACACGTATGCAAGTGCAGAGACACTCATGTGGATAGCGGAGAGGTGCGTGGCGAAGGCGACGAGAAAAGAGGAGGGGCGGCCGCTAACGGAGCCCGCCAACGCCCAAACGAGGGAGAAGAAAACGAGAGACAAAAGAAGACAGGCGGCAGTGAGGAATATAGGGTGGCGCAACGTGCAGCATGCGAGCTGCATGGCAACGGGGAACGAGGAAGGAGCGATGGGCGCAAAACGAACGGCAATCGCCCGCCCCCCGCCCCCTCAAAAAAAAAAA